ATGAAACGTCTATTTCTTCACATTTCATTCTTTCATTTTTGTTCGTTCATTTCATATTTCTTCAGTGATTTCTCCCTTTCTTTCATGTCTTTCTTTCTATCTTTCTTTTTTCTTTCTTTCTTTCTTTACATATTCTTCCTATTGTTTAGAGATACATTTAGACAATTACAATCCTTTAAGGTGCTCGTCTCCCAGGTCTTTTGCGTATTTGTTTTCCCATTCTTTTTTTCTTTCTTTCTTTCTTTCTTTTTTCGTATTTGATTATTTTTTTTCTCCTTTTTGAACTCTTTTTTTTCTTTTCTTTTGTCATTTTTCTTCATTTTTTTTTCTTTCTTTCTTTCTTTCTTTCTTTCTTTTGATTATTTTTTTTCTCCTTTTCCATGAACTCTTTTTTCTTTTCTTTCTGTCATTTTTCTTCATTTTCTTTTTTTCATTCTTTCTTTTTTTCATTCTTTTTTTCTTTCTTTCTTTCTTTCTTTCTTTCTTTCTTTCTTTCTTTCTTTCTTTCTATTCTATTCTTTCTTTTCTTTCTTTCTTTTGATTATTTTTTTTTTTGTTCTTTTCCATTTTGATTATTTTTTTTTTCATTTTATTTTCTTCCTGTCTTTTTTTTTCATTTTCTTTCTTTCTTTTCTATTCTCTTTCTTTCTTTCTTTCTTTCTTTCTTTCTTTTTTTCTTTCTTTCTTTCTTTCTTTCTTTCTTTCTTTTTCTTTCTTTCTTTCGATTCTATTCTTTTCTATTCTGTTCTTTCTTTCTTTCTTTTGATTATTTATTTTTTTCATCTTTTCCATGAACGTTTTCTTTTATTTTCTTCCTGTCATTTTTTTCATTTTCTTTCTTTCTTTTCTTTTCTTTCTTTCTTTTTTCTTTTCTTTCTTTTTTTTTATTTTTCTTTTTTCTTTCTTTTTTTTTCTTTCTTTCTTTCTTTCTTTCTTTCGATTCTATTCTTTTCTATTCTGTTCTTTTCTTTCTTTCATTTGATTATTTATTTTCATGAACGTTTTCTTTTATTTTCTTCCAGTCTTTCCATGAACGTTTTCTTTTATTTTCTTTTTTCCTGTCATTTTTAATCATTATCTTTCTTTCATTTGATTATTTTTATTTTTTCCTTTTCCATGAACGTTTTCTTTTATTTTTCTGTCATTTTTTTTTTCTTTCTTTCTTTCTTTCTTTCTTTCTTTTCTTTCTTTCTTTTCTTTCTTTCTTTTCTTTCTTTGTAGTTTATCTATTTTTTCTCTCTAATTTACTCAATCCATTTTCATTCCCTTTCTTCCTTTTTTGCCTTTGTTCCTTCAGTTTTCCGTTCTCCATCGATTGTCCCCCTGGGAGACACACATACTGCCTTACCACTCAATATATATCGCCACACACACACACTTTCCAGCTTCCAAATACCTAAACAATATAAACGCCTAATCCACGCAGAACAACAACAACAGCAACACATTTCCTTGTATTCTTTTACTTTTTGGATGTGAAGTATAACAACCAAATTAAACACGTTTGCAATTATCCTGATTATTACAGAATATAAAAGAAAAATATGACAAAATTTGAGACAAAAATTACACCGACATATCCAGCATTTACCGGAATGTGTTACGGACTTCTATTTAAGCAGGTAAAGAAAGCCAACGAATTCTTGCTTCACACACATTTGACAAATCGATTGATATGTTTTAGAAATAAGCGTCGGTTTAGACAGCTAAGGATTTCTCCTGGCATCTATGCCTAGCTTCCTCTTGCTTAGTACCACTAGTCGCCTGTTGAGTATAAGTCCACAGCCTTACCATAGATTTTGCTACTGTGCTTTCTGTAGTAAGTCGTTTTTTTTTTTAAGGGATGAAGTTGTCAGCCTTACAACGGTTGGTTTTGAATTCAAAGTTGTCGTTCTCCTTCATTGGTTGACTACCAACGCTGAAAAGTCCTATAAGATCGACTATTTAATCTATGATTGAAGAGGAAAGATATGGATTCATACCTTTTCCAATGGCATTAGAACAAAAGTCAACATAACGACCAAGATAAATTACTAACAAAGAAAGAAAGAAAGAAAGAAAGGCAGAAATGAGGACAATAGTCCGAATAATGTAAATAGTGTACATAATACCTCATCTCGGAAATATAGACAGATACTGAAGGGTCGAAACTTTGTAATAAATATGGCGACAAAAATGAGGACAATAGTCCGAATAATATAAATAGTGTACATAAGACCTCATCTCAGAAATATAGACAGATACTAATTTGCCGAAACGTTGTGATAAATATGGCGACGAAGATGAGGACAATAGTCCGAATAATGTAAATAGTGTACATAATACCTCATCTCAGAAATATAGACAGATACTGAAGGGCCGAAACTTTGTAATAAATATGGCGACAAAGACGAGGACAATAGACCTAATAATGTAAATAGTGTACATAATACCTCATCTCAGAAATATAGACAGATGCTGAATGGCCGAAACTTTGTAATAAATATGGCGACAAAGATGAGGACAATAGACCTAATAATGTAAATAGTGTACATAATACCTCATCTCAGAAATATAGACAGATACTGAAAGGCCGAAACGTTGTAATAAATATGGCGACAAAGATGGGGACAATAGTCTGAATAATGTAAATACTGTACATAATACCTCATCTCAAAAATATAGACAGATACTGAAGGGCCGAAACGTTGTGATAAATATGGCGACAAAGATGAGGACAATAGTCCGAATAATGTAAATAGTGTACATAATACCTCATCTCAGAAATAGAGGGATACCGTCGAATGTTTTATTTTGAGCCTGCGATCCCTAGAGATCCCTAGAGAAATGGTGGCCAATTCTTCTTCACATAAAGGAAGTTCAATATTAGAAGGAACTTTTATGAAGGGATTTCGAATCCAAACATACTTTTGCGGCACACTTAAGACGATCGTGCGGCTCAGTAGTGTTCGTGGCACGGCGATTGAGAAGATCTGTATCGGCCATGTGAAATTGCATAATCCCGAGCGGTTTACCACCCAGAATCATGTACAGCAGAGATAAACATCAGGGGAGATCCGTACTGAGGAGGACAGTTTTTTAAGGGTTAATATTAAAATGAGTGATAAATGTTTGTATTTTTACGAATTTGGAAACCAAATCTTCAGAGAATTAAGTTAGAAAGGGAAGAAATTCGATTTAAACAATAAAAAGAAATACCAAGAAATTGCAGGCGATGAGAGCCTGATTGCCCGAGAGAAATAAAGCCATGAAATTATTATGAATTGTCAAATGGGAGGCTGAATGTCCGTCGATACTGACGATTTTAATTCTTGATACAGATTTTAAGCGGCTCAACGCGCCTATCCATGTATGTCTGCTTTCGTTTCCACACTAAAGCCAAGCAGCGTCTCTGATAAGTCGTCTCTTTTCTCTTCTTTTATCTTTACGAAATAACACAATATATATATATATATATATATATATATATATATATATATATATACTTTACTATTGTAATATATATATATATTCCACTTGTAAATTAAATATATATATATATATATATATATATATATATATATATATACAATAAAAACATTTTACATCGCTACACAAAAGCTTTCATAATAATTTACTAGACTGCACTTCCTCGCCTGAGGAAGTACAATCTTAGAACTAAAACATGATAGGTTGTGTAGCCATGTCAAATGTTTTTATTGTAATAAAAATATCATAATAATATTTTGCTCTACTTTGTACTGAGCACATTTTAAAAAGTTAAACGTTAGGAAATGTGGATTTTTACTCCATCTGTTCTTTCATTTCGAGGCTTAAAATCGCAGCACGTTTAGTTCTGTTCGTAGCAGACGTGTATTCTCGGTTCTTATACAGTTGCAAAATATATATATATATATATATATATATATATATATATATATATGAGAGAGAGGGGAGGGAGAGATAAAATGTGGACATCGAATTCAAGACAGAAACAAAATACTCCTCTGTTCTTGAGCATTTTTCTACATAGAAAATTGTAAATATATATATATATATATATTTATATTTTATATATATATATATATATATATATATATATATATATATATATATATATATATATATATATATGAAGAAATATAGTCTAAAGGTGTGCTATATTTATGGGATAAAGTGCTCAATATCAGAGATAGAGCGTGTGTAAATATAAAGTGAACATTGAAGTCAAAACTTAGAGGCGACAGTCTGTTTCATGCTAGATGCAATCGTGGCCCGACGATTGCATCTAACATGAAACAGACGGTCACCTCTAAATTTTGACTTCTGTTGTTTTTTATATATATATATATATATATATATATATATATATATATATATATATATATAGATAGATAGATATAGATACACCTTGTGAGCCAGACAAAGCTACCTAGGTTTCACCTAAACGGGTCGTCAGGGAAAGTCTGGCTAACGAAGCAAAGAGAAACACATATTTATCGGTGATAGCTAAAATCATACCACGTGACAAAAAAAAAACAAAAAAACAAACCTGTCCGGGGGGGTAAATATGTATTCAACAACAAAAAAAATCCTCAGTGGAAAGTCAATAACGGGAAAACGTCTAATTTAGTAGCCAAGATTTTTTATTGTCTACATACATTAAGAATTTCAGTTTTAGAGTTTATGGCTAATTTCTCCTCAGCACATAATTTGCAAAATTTATGGCCTGCTTTATATTTTGGGCATTTTTTTAATATTTCCCATTTAAGGATGGGGTCTATATTATCTTCTTCTTTGGTTTTCCATACGTAGGTAGATAGCGTGGTACTATGTTTAATTTTTGCGTTCTTAAAACTACTCGTGTGGTTATAATATCTTTTTTTAAATTTATCCTGAGTAGCACCTATGTATGTTTTAGGGTTAGTATCCTCACTATTTTTGTAAATTTTCACTTGATAAACCACGCATTCTTGCTGATATTTCCCTGTAATGGACAGATGTTTTTGTTTCTATAATTACAAGTAGGAGGATTACTACATGGATCATTCCTAGTTTTTTTCTTATTCAATCCATTTATAATAGTCCCCACGTTCGGCATACAACAATAACTAAGTTTTACATTGTTTTTGTTAAATATTTTATGTAACTCATTATTTTTTTGGAAATGTTGCTCCAGTAAATTAAAAAAATATCTTACCAATTTTAGTTTATATATATATATATATATATATATATATATATATATTGGAGGTAATAGCAATGCATGTAAACAAAAGGGTTAGGGTTTTACTGCTGCTGCTACTGTAATTGTGGATAGGTAACAGGCAAGCTATTACAGAGTGAAACGATTGTGCTAGCATACTAACCGAGGAAAAGAAGAATTATAATATAATTTTATATTAATATTCATCCAATAGAAGGCCCAAGAGCCAGACAACGTAGAAGGTTATTGTGTGGTGCGCATGAGAAAAGGCAAGTAGTGTAGTTCATGATGTTATGTAGGAAATATAACTGAGGACTTGAAAAGGTCAAGATTGCAGGGATTGGGAAAGCATCCTGCCCGGAAAATCAACAGTTCATGGGAAGAAGCTGTCCGATTGGGACTTCTTTCTTACTGAGGAATACAAAGAGAATCCTTTGTAAAGGATACAAAGAGAATCCTTTGTAAAGGATACAAGGAGAATCCTTTGTAAAGTGCGTTCATTTTTTTTTAATTTTTAACCGGTGAAAGCATTTTACGAAAACATCTGCTAATAACAGAAATCCCATTCTTCGACCATAAAAATAATATTTTGAACCGGTAAACTTTCTGTTTTATGGATAATTTCTGCGAGACGATGAGTAATTTCTTCCAGTTGGTAGGGGCAGTTGTATGTTTTAAGTTAGTATAGATGTCATGCTTAGGTTATCAAGTTAGTATGCTTAGGTTTTAAGTTAGTATAGATGTCATGTTAGGTTATCAAGCAAACGTCATACCAACTGTTCCAAGGGGCCTCGGTCACCGAGGTCCGTTGGGACAGTTGGTATGACGTTTGACCGATAGCGTAACTCTCAGTGTTTCAATTCTCGGTAGTGGATGCGCACTGATTTGCAATCTCTTCGTCACCGAGGCCCGGCGGAACAGTTGGCATGATGTTTGCTTGACAACCTAACTGTCCGGGTTTTAGTTCTCGGTAGTGGATGCGCATATATATATATAATACAACTCAAAATATTTAAAACATACTATAATTTAACATCAATAAACCTTTAATCCACTTATCTCCCTGGCCGATTCCAGAATCTGGCGTAATACGACTCAGCAT